TAGTTTGTTTCTGACATGGCTTTCCATAACACAGTTCATGTCTTTTCAGTGCCGCAACTGGAGTACAAATGTGAAGGTGTATCACACTGTGCAAAGGCAGGTCAGTTCTCTGGTTTTAGGAGTGGTTTTATTTTATTAGTCTATCAGCATCTAAAGGTTATTTTCACTAAAAAGTGACAAATATGATTTTTGGGGCCTCTGGATCTCCTGCTTCTTTTCCGTTGGTATTTGGTTTATTTTTAAACTACAACAAACAAAAAACCACCCCCCCACCCCCCCACCCCAAAAAAAGCTCAAACCACGAACTCTTTAAAATTAGGTTAGAAATGGAATCTGACAAATCTTCAGGCATGTGATAGTATTTAATGCCAATAAAGATTTCTTTCAATTAGAAGTTCTGACTGTTAGTAACTGCAGAAATGCGCTTTGTGTGCATAAAATGAGAACATTTTTCTTTAAAGTTGTTCTTGTCAATATGTAAATAATTTGTGTATGATTGTAAAACTTGAGGATGGGTGGGGAGAGGCAGCTTGATTCTCTTCATAATGCATGGCACTTTGAAAGTGCTTTTTGGTGGAGAGTGGGGGGTGGTATGGCTTGGACAGTCACTCTTTTTGATACCAGAATTGACATAAATTTGCTAACACATGTTCAGCATGTTCTGGGTGGTTTAGCTTTTTTCTTCTAAGGCCTGTTACCATAGACCTACATTTATGGTACAGTCTAAGTTGTTTTCCTTAGTTTATACAACATTTGTCTGATTTAATGATGATTGCTTCACCTAGACATAAATGAACAATAATAGATAGTGTCAGATAGCTAGATGTTGGATTTGAGAATTTATTCTATGAAGTAAATGTCTTACATTCCTTGATTGTCCTAGAGATGTTGATTTTAATTCCAAGAATATTTACTCATTTTGTTCTGTGCACACAGTACAGAGCCATGATTCTAGTTTGTGAGTAGGTAGAATTTAAGTTTAATTTGATAGTACTGTACTAAACATAATAGCTGATTTATAGGTTTCATTGATTTGAGATAATTTGCTAATATTTTTAAAAATTTTTGAGGTTGACAGTATTGCTTTATCAAGATATGGCTCAGGGCATAATAGAAGATAATGATTGCAAGGATTGGGGCAGTTGTCATGTAATGCAGCTACTATGGAAAAAATGTGTTTAGTGCAGGGAAAGATAATACAGTGTTGGTGTCGAGTTCTTGTGATGTCCATTTAGACCTTTTCTGTGCTGCTATTGAAAACAGAAGGAAAGATCTTTATCTGTGGAGAACGTGCTGTTTCCATACTTACCTTGATAATGTGAAATACGTAGTGTTTATAGTAAGTTACCCTTGTGCACATGCTGCATATTGAACAAAATGAAGATCTTCCTTCCTGTAGTACTAGGATTTATTTAAACATTTCATCCATTCAAGTGGGGGGTTGCCTGCTTTGTATTCCATAAGTTAATAAGCATGACTTTGGAAGTTGTAGAAAAGAACTGATCTGTTGTGATGTGTTTTGAGTGGCTTCTTAGCGTATATAGTATTCAAAAACTCAAGATATGGAGCAGGTAAGATACATGTAAGGACTGTGGTTTGATGGGTTGAAGACAAAGGTTTTGAGGGAACGTGTGGGAGAAATGGATAGGTAGGTCAGGAGGCGCAGAGCTGAGTGGGAGGGGACAAAGAGTTTACCTTGTTGAACCATCCTTATGGTTAGTATGGTTTTAATGTAAACAGCTTGCTTACTTTGAGAATCAGCTTGCTTATTACTTTGAGACTTTTCTTCTGTGGCTTTTTGCTCTAAGACGACTACTGGTTGGAGTTTAGTTGGTCAAGTAAGGAACATGCTGACTTCTCTCAAGTGATACTCAGCTAGGGAAAAGTTGGAAGCTGCTGTTGCCTAAAATAGTTACCTGTGTTAACAACCCCATATGAACATTAACTATATCCTTAAGCAGTCTGGAGGAATTGATAATGCTGTCTTTATGCTCAGAATTGGAGGTACTTTTAAAATTGCCTTTTCCATAGTCCATTCATCTATTCCATATTCAGATATGTTTGGAAAAACTGGTGAATGTTTTCAGTGTGTTCCTACAGTTAACTGCAAAAATGGTTCTGTAATGCAGTGAGACAACTTTTTTCCTTCTGTTTCTTACTCTACATCTAATAACATATAAAAACAAAGGCTATAAAGTATGTACCTTAGGTAGATATTTTATAAGTTCATAGTGTTACATAGATTTTTATGGGAGTTAAATGGAAATAAATGAATGTGTTCTCATCAGTGCAGTGGTGTTTTCCCAGTTCCTACCATTCCCAGAACTGAGCTGAGCAAATATAACAAATCAGAAATAGAGGGGAGGAGTGGCACATGCTGATACTGTAATTTAAACACATACTCTGTGAAGCATTACTGTGCAGTGTTTTTATGTCTGTATTATCTTTACCTGCTTTTATTGCTTTGCAAAATTGACCAGCAGAAAAGTGAAAAAAGTTCTCCAGTATGAAGGTTTATGTATAGTCCAGTATATACAGAGCACTCTTTACTATGTTGTACCCTGTTTTATAAATAAACTATTGGAAAACATACACAACCAAAGACACAGTGTGCTTAATAGTACCTGTATTAAATGAGCTGTATTGTGGAAACTAAGATGGCAGTGACACCATTTTAATTAACGCTGTAGTAACGGGAGGTTTCCTGTATAGAAGAAAAAACTGGTAGTAGTTGCCACGTGCAGACAAAGTAGAGCTTTGTTTACTATTATATTTTTGTACAAGCAACACTCCTGCCTGTTTTGTGACCCTGCTACAGTGTGTCTGTAACTCTTTAGCGTGGAATTGTTTGTGTGCATGTTTGCTGGAGTAAAATATACATATCTTAAACCAGAACTTTTTTAAAAGCGATTTAGTGATACCTTCTACGTTTGTAACAGAAAGTCCCTTCAATGATTAGAATGTGATAAATAATTCTACATGAGTATTATTTTGGTGACTACTGCCCCATTTTATGATCTTCTGAATTTGTATCTATTCATGGTCACTTGTTTGAAATGATGATGTAGTTATAAAATTTAGTATTTTGGGGAAAAATACCAATTTTTTGAACATCAAAGAACATGTTAAAAACAGTTAATAATTCAGTGGCGCACATTTTTATTAATTGGAATCAAAGTTTTTGTTAGTAAGTTTCTTGGCATAGCAATTAGTTGCTTAGGGCAGGAAGAAAATATTCTGTTTTGTTCGTCCCATTTAACCTATGGTGAGGTCTTAGATTAGCTCTTGGATGTTGTGGTCATGCAAATACATAAAGTTTGGGATTCATCTCTTCTAATGTCACTGTATTTGACCTAGTTACCTTAGGGAGAAAAGGAGAAAATAGGCCTGATTCACCTTCTGTACGTTCATTAAATTGATCAAATGAATTGCATCCTAGCAGTACTTATGTAGGTTCCTTTCTCGTTGGCGCAGAGCGGGGTGACAAAGTCAGCTGTCAGTTTCCACAAAGATGCTAGTGTTGAGGTGACAGATCTGAATTATTTATCCCTTTAGAATGTCTAAAATAATACAGTACCAGCTCCTAAAGTTGAATATGCTTTAAAATAAGAGAAACTGTGGATCGGGAACAGTTGCTGCACAATTACTATTTCATCCCAAAAAGAAGGTGGAAAATTTACAACCTGATTGATAGTTCAGTACAAATACATGTTGATCCACCAAGATACATACACGACACAATGCAAGACATGCGTACAAAGCAGAGGTATGAGTTGGAGTACCTAGTTTTGAACTCAGATCACTGATAGAATTTATATTGCAGATTTAAATGTTGTGGTTTTGCTGAAGTAAATGAATACGGGCATTCCATGTAATCCAGAAAAAAGTAACTGTAAGGATTATTAATGTAAGGAAAGAATGGTACCAAGTTTATGATGCATTGGATTCTAACTGAAAACAATACTATTTGTATATGAATCTTAATTGCTACCAGTTCTAAATGAATCAATAACAAGCTTTGTTGTCAATAGTCAGTGTGTATTAGTAGTTTTATTTTTGTCTGCATGTACTTCTTGGAGCAGTGTTGCTTAATGGCATCAAGATAACGATGTTTGTTATGAATAGCCTGCATTTTGTTATTCATTAGCCAAACATGCTAATCACATACTCAGAAGGTGAAGTAATCATTCATTAAACTTCTGTATTTTCATTGAATTGCATATTTTTGTGAATGACAGTGCTGAATGTACTTTCAGTTTTTTCAAAACAGATAAATCTAAGCTCCCAAAGTTTTGTAAATTAGGTTCTGCAGAGGGCTAGTTGGGTTACTTGACAGTCCAGCTGTCCTCATCTTTTCACATAGAGTTGAAAGGCAGCTGTACATCACTTTCATATTACTGCTCTAGTGTGACTAGTTACTTAAATTACCATGGAGAGATCGTTCACTTGTCAGTGGTGAGGGGGGTAGTCCATCAAATAATATGAGGATGTGGTCTATGGACAGGAAGTTTGGGAACACTAGTGGTTACTCACTAGCTGGTTCTTTACAACTCCCTAGGCACTGAAAATTAACTCAGTCATGCCAAGTTACTGGACTGTGCTTGAGATTCCAAACATAACTGGCTTGGTTTGAAAGCCTCTGAAGTCAGATTTAAAAATGACAAGTAACTAATCAATGAGAAAAGGAAGAGAATGTCTATTTCAAGGGTACAACATCTAGTTACAGTACAACAGTCTAGATCATGATATTCGTGTGGAACCTCATCTCACCATTGCTCTAGCTCTGATAACTACAGCTGTTTGTTGGGGAAGTGGTGGTGGCCAGAGTAAGGGTTTGAAAACCTAACATACTGTGGTGCTTGGAAAGAATCCAAACAGTTCTTGCTTGATTTTGAATGTCACTATTGTTGGCAGGCTTAACCTTTTGTTGTTGAACTTTCTGTGCTAGCAGGTTGTTGTGAAGGCATCACTGTCCTAACTCTTGCTTTGTTTTGTTTTAGTCACATTGATCAAACAACAACATGGCAAGATCCTAGGAAGGCCATGCTTTCCCAGATGAATGTTACAGCTCCCACCAGTCCTTCTGTGCAGCAGAACATCATGAACTCAGCATCAGGTAAGCAAAATTTATATTTATGAAAAAGATTATACACTAGCTATTTTAATTGTGGGGGAGGGAGTCAAATGTCACAATTGTCCTTCTAGTTATCCTGGTTTTAAACTTTAAATTTGTTGATGCCTGATGCACCAAGCAAGAGGCTGATACTTGAGGTAAAAGAATTTGTATAATATATATGATGTCAACAGAAAGTATCCTGTAGTTCTTTGGTTTGTGTTTTTATTTTTTCAAATGGATGATTCAAACATTTAAAGAAGCAGCATTTTTGTCTAATTTCTTCTGACTGAAAATGAAGACCAGAATTGCCATTAAATTAGTGTCAACTTACATTAAAGCTATTGTGCTTCTGCAGTATTCTTCTGCCTTCCCTTGCTCACTTACTAGGCTTGATATACTCCCATTCATTTACATTTCCTACGTTTGTTATGAACATCTCATTTTTCCCTGTCTTCCCTGAATAAATAAAGCAAACACCTGGAAAATCTTGTTTAAAAGCAGCAACGTTTTGGTTTTCCTCTTATTTTCCTATCATTTCCAAAATCCTGTATCATGATGATTATTCCTCTAGCTGAGGAAATCTGGTTATCTTTTCCTGGAATATAGAACTGTTCTTCAGCTAGTCTTGGCGGGGGCGGGGGCGGCCTCACTAGACAGCAGTAAAATGTGCTTGTTCTTGCTATAGAATCTGCTGTGTGATTTCAGAGCTCTCTTGTCCTGATGATGCAGAGAGCCAGCAGATAAATTTGGTTGCATGCTAGTTTGACTGCCACACTCTTCCCTATGCTTTGTCACCTTCTGTCTGTTGCTGAGGTTCATGTTTTATACATTTTTCCACAGACTGATTGTATTTTGTGTATGTCTGCTGTTCCTGTATTTCACAAAGGTTATTCTCTGGTGCTGCTTTTTGTTGTCCGTTTAGACAGCTTTGTTTCATGCTGCAATTCATATACTGCAGACAATACCAAAAGATTAACAGGCGTGACCATACTATGCTGTTCATGACTGAGTATTAGAGGGGAAGCTAATCAAACTTTTTGCTGGCTAGGCCAGGAGGTTGGATTATCCTGAAACAAATGAGAGTCCTGTTGAAGTTCAGGAAGTCATGATTCAGAGCAATTAAGGTCTCAGGCTCTGATGTGAAAATATAGTATCTGTGATTATTTTTTCTGTAAATATATCCCAGGAAACCTGCAGCAATAGAGATGACATGTTTTTTGCAGAGACACTTCTGAAGAACAGAGAATACGAGAAAGGAAACAGTCCCGTTGGTCTATCTTGCCTTTTGGCTTATCTTGCTTGTGCTAAAACTAGATGCTTGCTGTTTGAATATTGACATAAATTCTGTGTTTTAAAATAACTCCTCAAATCTTCTGTTGTTCCAAGAATTGGAAGAGGAAAAAATATTGATAGTGAAGTAGGATTCACTTTATGTACTTTGAAAGAAATGAAGGGTCCTTAGCAAAAAAAAATATAAACTGATTAGTTGTAAGGGAAAAAAATCTAAAAGAGAATCTAGCAATCAGCATTATTTTTAAAAGAAAATAAAAAGTTTACATGTAATTGATAGATGTAAGTGTGTAAGCAAGTGATCCTGCATAGATATTGTTGCTCATGCAATAACGAAGAGTTGAGATGTTTAAGTGGGTTGTCTTATGACTTGAGAAAGCACTTACTCGAATACAAGCTCATTGAACATTTATTTTTAATTTCACAGATGATACTGTATTGGATATGAACTGAAAATCTTGTAAAGTTTGGGATTTTTTTCCCAGTGCTCTGAATTTGATAAAGTGCATGAAGAAATCAAAACTTCTGTGTATATTGAGTTATGTGTTTATGTGGCATTGCTTTTTTTAAGCTTAAATCTGTTAAGGTAGTATGACTTGGAACTGGCTCTTTGGATGCACCTGCTTACCCTTAACTTACTTGCATTTAACAAAAGTCTGTTTTGAATTAAATAATACTGAACCTGCATTTATTGGATATGATTCTGCTTCTGATACCTGATTTGGCAAATCTTTATGTACTAACTTTAAATTATGGCTGTATGTTTCTTTTTACTAAAGTCTCTTATATCTGGTTCTGTTACTTTTTGCTACTGAAGTTCATGGTAACTTAAGCTTCATTGGTGGCCTTGTAAAGAATCTTTGAGAGAGATGGAAAAATCAAGTAACTGTGTACCACGTCAGCACAGTGGAACTTAAATCTGGAGTGCTAACATCATAAATATAAGATTACTTAATATTCTAATTTGGATATTCATCCTCAAGAACTGGGAAATAAAGTTGAGACCTTTAAGACAGAAGTTTCCTGTTATGAAATATTGCTGGCACTGAAACATGCCCTAGTGCTTTGAGAACCTTCCATGAAAGATACTGGGAAAAACCAAGTGTAAGTATTGTGACAGCTGGAGGTCACTGACTTGTAAAAAAATGTCTGAAATGCCACAAGGGAGAATGTTTTCCTTTCTGTACGGTTCATCGTTGTATAGCACTCATTAATTGTAACCCTTAATCAGAAGTTACTGTCCAAGTTTCAGTATATTTAATTACAGACTGCCATAGGAGCTTGTGAGTAAAGTTGCTGTGGTAAAACATGAGAGAGGATTTTTAGGAGCTGTCTTGAAAGCCATTAGAAGCTTTAGCCATTTAGCCTGAATTAGAATTCTAGCCATTAGCTAGAATGAAGAACAGGAAAACAAACTGAAGAGGGAGAGAGAACAGAACTCAGAAAGGTGCTGTCTGCATATTGAAGATAAACCCATTGTCTTTTCTGGATAAATAGGGTAAGCGGAGCTCAGGGAAAATGGGAAGAAAGCAAAACTAGAAGGTGTAGTATGGGTGAAGGCAAGTCAAAAGAGCGTTTAAAATAAAAACAGGGAAGGTATAGTTTAGCATGAGGTTGAGGGTTTTAGGTTGTTTTTCTTAAGAAATCCCACCTCTTGAGGCAGCTAAGACTGGATAATAATCCAGGTATCTTGCTGTAAGTTACATTTCTTTAAAGAAATTCATAGGCATCTGAACCGGGTTTATCTGTTCCTGGCATGATTTTGTGAGTGAACTGGTTTATGAGTGTTAGTTAGCATACAACCTTTACAGAAGGGCATCAGTATGTGAAAAGTGAGAATTTTTTTCCCCATTGTTTTGGTTCTTTGATTTTTTTTTTGTCTTAGTCTTGCTGAACTTAGCTTGCTACATGTAATCAGCTAAAATGTTTTGGGCGATATGTATGCAGAGAAACACAGTGCTCTTTTAGATGGCATTTGTTGGTTAATCTTCTGTGAAATAGGATTGCATTTTCACATTAATAATGGAAAGAAAACAAGCCTGTTACTTCTCAATATGCAATATGTATATAAACATTAGTGTTGACTGTTCTGATTTTGTGTATGTGTGTGTTTCTAACCATTTTTTTCCCTAAAGGTATTACAGGAGAAACTATGTTCTTCTGTCTTGGGTTTAAAAAAAAAAAAAAAAAAAAAAAAGTAATAACAGTACATTGTTCTTCTGAGGAACCTCTCCTATGCATTTCTTACTGAGGTAAAGTTATAAATTTGAAAGTAAACAATGCCTGTTTCTTATACAATTAACAGTTGATATAACAGAAATGGGATAGTAATTGTTTTTACATACTTCCATTCTTCAGATACTTTTACTTCCTGAATCACGCTTTAACAGCACTGCTTTAGCCCCTTCTGCTTGTGCATAGACATTAGATAATTAGCTTTGGAGCAGATTACCTATCTTTGTCCTCTTGTCTTCCCTCTTACATTGCAGTTTTGAATTGGGTTTTCTGGTGAAAGTTTTTAGACCTAGTGTAATTCCATTGCCTCTTAGGGAAAGGCTGTAGTACTATGTTAAAGATTGGCAGGAAAATGGACACTCAGATTCATAACTCTTGAGGGGTTTTCCCCCTTGGGGGGCAGGAGGGTAAGGAGGAATATGGCAATTACTAAAACAAGTTCTAGCTCTTTCCTTAGATTCTTGCTCACTTCAGTTGCAGATTTCTCTTCTATGTTACCAGTCATACTACAAATTCTGCTTTGTGTACAGTCAACACTACATATACTCTGTTGTGAAACTTGAGTTTCTAAGTATCTGCGTGACAGTAATATTCATTTCTTTCGTCATCTGCAAAAAATGCCCCCTTTTTAAGTGTCTTTTTGTAAGTTTTACTGATTTGACAGAATAAAGGTGGACTTCAGGTAAATTTTGTAGACTTTGATATAATTTTAGAAAGTTTTGGAATCACAGTGACAGTGACTGAAGGGAAAAATTTCAGCTTTCACAGAGAAAGATTAGGAAGGTTCTTAGAGATCAGTGTTTGTATTAGGTGAAGGTGATTCCTGCTGTTGAACATAGGTGTTCCAGTTCCTAGGTTGTCTATGTGTATTCTTTTAATATCTAGATACAGATGCTCTCTAATATGCATTAACCTTTTGATAAAATACATCTTTATTTACAATTATTTTACAATTAAATATCAGAAATTGTAGGGACTTGCAAGTTCTACATTATATCCCACCACTGTTTGAGTCTCTACTACATTTTTGCTTTTGTTACTCTTCCTGTTGCTTTCTATCTGCCAGCAGTGAGCTCTACTTTGTGTTCAAGACTCTGCATTTCATGGCAAAAATGGTATATTGAGAAAGTAAAAACTCACCAAAAAATGGAAACATGCACCAAACAGACACATACACAGACTTTTAAAATTACATGTATTTAAGTTACACCATTATATAAATATTTATTTACAGAGGTATGCCTTATCAGTAGTTCTGTAAGGAGCGCTTACATTTGGAAATGGGAATCTAGTTTTTGGATAACCTTGTCTTTGAAAATACCGCAGTAAATGGTGAGTTCCCTAGAAGGGCTGTCTCCCCCTGTGCAAATAATTTCATAGAATTGTAAGCTTATGGTTATGATTGTGTTCAACTGACCTAGGAGGCACCAAACAGAACTAGTAGAAGACCATGCCACAGGGATATTGTTCGTGCTAAATGTTTATGAAGGTTCAAAGGGAGACTGGCAAAGTACTTGAAAGAGAGATCCTTGGGCACCTAGTAAGTAGACAGAATCTGGCACAAAAAATCACCTGAGGTACTTGGAGGCCAAGTGGCTATTCATAGCCACTGTATTTTTTGGGTCAATATGTGTATTCAGTGCTTTATTTAAAAGTTTATAGAGTGTGACAATCACTAAACGTGCTGCTTTCAGCAACAAGTTCTGTCCATCGCCCCAGGCTAGGTGCCTGGGCTAAGTGGACTTGTGGTTAAACCCAGCATGGCTGGTTTTGTACAACGTGGGCTACAGTAACTATGGAAATGTTAGTGAGAAGGTCTGAAAATCAGCAACATAGAGCTTATATAACTTAAGTCATAAGGTAATGCTGGGAATTCTGTTCCTATTGAGTCTTTTTTTGGGGGGAAGGGACATGTAATTGCACAGGAATTCTCCTAGATGCTCTGAGTGAATGTGTCTGCTGTTCTTCACCATGGTTTTCCGTTTTTCCTCTGTTACTTGCCTCTAATACAGACATAGTCAGACAGCCAGTTACAAAATCAGACTTGACAGTCTTCTGGTTTCACAACTGCTCACAAAACCAAACAGGAATTACAGAAAGCAGTACTAATCAATTTTTGAACTACCATTTCAACATGTAGGGGTAACAGCAGAAACACGAGAGCAGTTTACTGGCCAAGGAAGAAAGCAACATCATGATTAATGCCAAGTTTGTAGAGCGAAAAGTTCTGTTTCTGCAGCCATTGATGGCACTTAGCAAGGAAGATTTGCTACCATGACAGCCAGGTGAGCAGACAGACATTTCCTTTCCTGTCCTGTCCACAGCTCTGCATTTTATTTAGAAAAAGAACCTTGCCCAGGTTTGTCTCTAGTAAGCTAGTACTCATCAGATCACTGAATCTCATAAGCAGTATTGTTCCACCAGGTAGGTGGACTGATCAGCTCCTGGCATCCTGCTTCAAAGGCATTTTGTTCTTATTTACTACAAAGGAACACGCTGGACCAGTATACACTTTACTCAATGTTAAGCAGGACTGACACCCCAAGGCTAGTTTTGTTTTTCCTAGAGCCAGCTGGGTTTTTTGGCTTTGCAGTTCAAAAGAGAATTTCTTGCTGAGTTTCATCTCTGAGGGATGTGTGGCTTAGAAGGACTCTGAGGAGAACGGTAGTGAGAAGGTCTGCCCACATGGCCAGTGTGTTGGCTTAGGAGTCAAGGAACATTTTTGGTTCTTCATTGGCTTCTACACTTGGATGATGTGGGGCATATCACTGTGCTTGTGTTGCCCCTGTTTTATAAAATAGCATCTCACTGATTAGCTGGCTGGTCTTTGGGTATGGTAACAAAGTATAGGGTTCTTTGCACTTGAGCTTCCAATTCTGCATCAGAGTCCTGTTACACTGTGAATGTGTTAGGATTCGTGAGTATGTTAGGGTTTATGAATGTTTTGCAGTGTTGTCACTCTTTCTTGTCTGTTCTGTTCATTAGCCTCTGATAAAAGCTGAGGTACTCTTGTTACTTGTATGCAGCATGTAAAGCTTTTGAGCATTAAGGATGGGAAGGAAATGTCCAACCATTAGATCACTGGTTTTCCTCACTCAAAAACCTGTAGCTCTAATGGTGGAATAGTGAGGTTGCTAGAGAAAGGCATTGTTTTCTGAGCCAAAATGAAAGAGTTTAAATTAGAAATGTAGTTTGCAGGGGATCTTCAAAGACCACAGTAAGAAATTCTTGTCCTGGTTATGTCTTGGGATATTACTGGAATGCATTCGAATTATTATTTTACTCTTTTTGACATTGCTCCAAGAACATCTTTTGATATTAAGCAAACAAATCTGTCCTTCCTCTCCTCTCACCCCCCAGCTTTAGACATCGAATTCTTCAACAGGAGCATGACTTTAGGACAAAATGACAGGCAAAGAGTTAATGTAGTTTAAAAATGGATTTAGTAGGTACTTCGGGCATTTATCAGATACAGACACATATTTTTGTGTGTATATCTGAATCTCATGTGTGAAATTATGACGTTTGTGCATATTTAATGTACCTCACATTGTACAGAATGGTCTGTTAGTCCAAGTCTAGCAGCCAGATGGCTTTTGCTAGTGTATTACCATATTATACTGAGGAAGAGTGGAAGGAGAGGTTGAAATACGATGTGGCTTCCTGCAGCAGGTCTTGTTCTAATTTCTTTTACATTCTTAACATTTGTAGTGGATCTTTTGCTATACCATCTTAGGACTGTACTTAAATCTAAAGAAATACAGGCATGATCTTCCTGTATCTAATTTAGATATTTTTAGAAGTCCGTATCTATGTTAGTATAAGAATTCAAAAACATATATTTGTAAAGCATCTGCCAGATAAGATGAGATGAATGTAACTTCAAGAATAGTTTTCAGTCTAAGCAAAATACAGATGAATGTACATGATCATATAGAGGTGGGAGTGAGTGGTTTATGAACTGTATAGCGATGAAAGGTGGTTTTCTCAAGAGTTGCTATTTGGAACATAAGGGAAACACACCTCAAGACTCTGTGTTCAGCCATTGGCTATGGACTCCAGAACACCCTCACCTACCTCCCTTTCACCATTTCCTACATGTAGGTTTCCCTGCCTCTGCCTTCCTGCTCATAGAGGCATAGCACTGTTGTTTGCAGCACTGTGTCTCTATGTCTGCTCCTGGTGTTTTCCTACCTTTGCTTTCTCGTTGTCTGTTTGCCTCCTGTTCTTCAGGTTTGTGTTTTTGCTTGCTTAAGCCTTTAATGCTTTCACAGAAAGTAATGGTATGAGGTAAAGGGAAAATTAGTTTTGTCACTTTTTAAAATTGTTTGTGAAAGATAGAGGAATATTTCAGGATCTCATTAGTGTTACCTTGTTGCTGCTGCTGGTCCTTAATCACTAGATGAACTTTCCCATGAGAGGTAGAATATCTCTATGCTTGTTCTTTTTCCTGGTGCTCATGCTGGTTTCATTCTGGCAGGCTTGACTTATTGCTGGTTTTGTACTATAATGCTATAGCAAAAGGGAGTGTCAAAAGGATATGTAAGGATGCAAACAAATTATAAAATTAAACTCCAAATCCTAAATCAAAATGATAGAAGTGTTTTCTGTTCTTTGATTTCCCACCCACCACTTCCTTGCCCTTATCCCAGAAATGTTAGACATGAGCTTGAAACTCTTCTGTTTCATGTACTGTTATATATGTAAAATGTTGGAATTTTTTTTAGATCAATTTCAGCTGGAGCAAACAAGAGCCCGCCATCAACTCCTTCCTTCTATATTGCAGGCCCACTCCCCGATGGATGGGAACAAGCTATGACCCAGGATGGAGAAATTTACTACATAAACCATAAGAACAAGACCACATCTTGGCTAGACCCAAGGCTTGACCCACGCTTTGGTAAAAGTTCATCTCGCTTCAGAATTTTTGATTCGCTTCAGTTCACTCAGCTTTAATTTTGCAGGCATATTTTGAAAACTTTTTATAGTACGATTAAAATATATTTTAATTTGAATTATAGAGACCTTATTGAAATAATTATTTTTAAAAAAATATAAAAAGGATTAGCATATATCCTTTAGGAGTGTATGTCACCAGAGTTTCTAATGGTAGGGGTTGGTATTTTGCCATATGATCCATACAGTTCCCAAAGTTGGTGGCATTCAGAAATTACTTACCTACAGACAGTTTCAGCCAAGCTCACTCTTCCCTTTAAAATTGCAAAAATTACCACAGAAGAATCTTTTAATTCCCAAACAAATACTTTCCTTTGCACTATCTTAAAGAAGGCATTGTCTAATAATAATTTATGCTGTTTAAATACATTTGAAACGTATACCAGCTTATAATTCCAGCTTGTCACAGTGATGATCATGACAAAACTTTCTGTTATTTGGAGAGAAATGATTAGCTTTGTTTTTTCTACTTTAATAATCTTTTTGTGGGGTAAAGACTATGTAATATTGGAAATAGAAATAGTAACTTAAATTAGGGAGCACAAGGTCTAGATGTAAAAATTCAACAAAATAGAACTGATAACTCATTTTTTGTAATGTTCTTGATCTATATGAAGAGCAGAGCTGCAAACATTTCAATAAAATATTGGCACTGATGACTATGAATAGCAATAGCATATATTATTAAGAGATGCTAAACTAGTTTCTCAGATTGTCCAAGTGGTTGTTCTGATGCATTTAAGGGGGTATTACAACTTTAGGCTTTGTATAAAGCCATGACCTGTGTGTGTAAGCTTTATTAGCTGTATTAATTTGCCCTTGATTTGTTTTCCCAATAACTTACTATTTTCAACTTCTTTGGATTTTAGTTATTTTTCCAGAGCCATGGAAAAAACAGTAGGGGTAAAAAAAAAGAAGAGATCATTGTGGTTTTCAGGCTTTAGTTTTGGACTCGGTGCAACTAAATGAAAACAGTGTGCAGATCACTGAGTAGGTCAGGCTGAGGGGATACAAAGCCTTTGAAGCTTTACAGGGGTTGACCTAACAACAACTGTGGGCCCCTTTTGGGAGAGGCATTAACTCCATGAATGCCGTATAAACACAGAGCTACAAAACTCAACAGTCACTGTTCTGTTTTGTTTTTCTGAAATGGCTGTTAGAAATTTCAGCATTTTTGTTTTGTAGGCTTGAGTGCTTACTTTAGACATCCGTTTGGTCTTATGGAGAACATCAGATTGTCACACTTTGTTTATAAACTGCTCGCCAATTTGTAGACAGGTTGAACCACTGTGCAACTTGAGCCCAAAGGTGGGGCTCAAGGTATATTGAAGGTTGTCAGCTTTGGCAAATGTCCATGCTGGCTTTAACACCAGCCAGAGTTGCAGACCTGTTTGTGTGTTGCATGAGGAGTGTGTGGGTAATTTGTAACTTCACAATTACTTAATATGTGAATAAGGCTGAGAAGGAAGCGGTTATTTTGAAAATCAATGTTGCCTTTTGCTGTTAAAAGAGGCAGGTCAATTATATTTACTTAAGTAATCTTGCAGGGTATGTGTTTTTCTTTTCTTTGTATCACATAATAGTTTCCAATGATGAGCTGGAATTAAAAAGGAGTGTGGAAAAGGCTTTAATTGACAGAGGTTGTGAGTGAGATGAATCTTGTTTCTCAGAACTATTTTGTACTCCTGTAAATGCTATGGTCTAACTGTAAGGGCAAAAGCTACTCGTCTTGTGCATACTGAAACTCCATCAAACGTTAAGGCTGCACAGTTAAACTGAAAGAAGTTAGAAATGTCCAAAAGACTGCATAAGGGTTTCTTGCTGCATAGCTTCCCTTTTTGGGCCCACAGCATATGTGTATCCCAGACAGGCTTGAGTACATGCCAAGGCTCTTTATTTTGTGGTCGGACTTTTAATCTGTTCCAGACCTTTTCAGTCAAAGAGCTCAAGTGTAACTGAAAGGGGCAGGAAAGGAAAAAAAAAGCATGTGGGCTCTTCTGATCTAGAGTGACGGCAAATAGAGACAAGCTGCTAGCTGCTGTTGAGCTTGAAGGAGTTTTCCTTGAAATCTTAAGTTGTACGCATTGTATTATGGTTTGTTTTTATCATTTGAGCCAAGAAAATACAAAATCTTGTTCCTGTTGCTTTCTCGCTTCTGGCCTCCTTAAGTCGCTCCAGTAAAGAAGAAAAAAATCTGTTTGACAGAGCTAACTTACTGAGCCTTGCATTTATTTATCATGTGGAGATCCTCAACAAGTATGTGCTGTGACCCTAAATAGCATGTGAATGACTCAGAAGTTTACCTTTCTGTGCTTAATATAGGTTGAAAATCCTGTTGGTTTTTTCCCCCCTGAGGATCACCATACTCTTTTCTATCGCTGTTTTAATATAAGGGCTTGGTTTTCACTATTTTTTGACTGCTCAGAAGCAATCCTAGGTGAATTCATCTTTGTAATGTTGAAGCTTTTGATTATTACAGTGATATAAATGTTGATTGAAGATGGAGAAATTCATTTCTTCCTTGATACTGCCACTTTCACCAATCTGAAGAACCATTGAAAACAATAAAGCAATTGAATGGTATGTGCAAACATACTCTTCTGTTCCAGTATTCAGAAACAGAAGGTTTGAAGAGTCTTTGCCCTTATTGCTTCTGAATGCCTAGCTTCCAGGGAGACAGCCCTTATATCTCTGTATATTCCTCATCAGATAGAAACTTTGCATTCATCTTTATTTTCTCTAGTAGGTGTGCATATATATCTATTTATTTATTTATTTAAGTAGTGCTGGGAATTTTCCATTAATGTGGCTAGAAAAGAGAGAAGGAAGGAGGATCAGTTTGAAGAAATTGTTTTAGGCAGACACACCTACTGACTTACTTGGTAAGGGAAACTTGGGTATTGCATTCATGCTTTTAAACAGAAAATTAAAAGATGCAGTTAATATGGAGTCTTTCCTGGAGCAGGCTTTTAAGACTAATGTATCAGATAAGAGTCCCTGTCAGAATACCTGGCTGTGGAGTAGGCCAAGTCTAAAACCTGAGTGCTCCAAACCCGAGTTGAAGAGAAGAACTTTGTTCCAAGACTCAGATCTAACATCTTTGAAGTGGGCTTGAGGTCTTCAGCTACACCACTTAAACAGCAGTGAAGTCTTGTTGTGGCTCAGATGTTGATCCTCCAAGTCTACATATTTGACTTTAGAACAGTTTTGCGTTAGGAGAATTCACAAACTTCAAAAATGTAGAAAAGAACCAAGTGTGAAAGGAGGATCTTCTCATGCCAAGCACAGGCAATCATAAAAGATGACATGGGATCAAAGGAATGGGGATGGGGGTGGTTCTTAGGCCTGTGTCAGCAGGATTCTTGTCTAGTGGAGCATCTGGTAGAAACATGCTGTCCTACCTTCTCAGTGCCTTTGCAGGCCTTGTAGAAGGGGCTTCAAATTACTCTTTTTAGAAGGTTATTTCTTTAAGGTGGTTGGACTGCCAGGTTGACCTTGTGTTTTGGACTGTTTTGTCTTTTACTAGCTTCTGCTATTGTCCATTAGTCATTCTTCACAGATCCTACTGTTTTTCTTAAGCCTTCCAGATAAGTTAGTATGTTTTCTTGATAGTCAAAGAATATCTGAGTAGGAAACAGGTCAGCTGTGCATTCCGAGTGGCTGGAGTTGGTGAAGTAGAAGAACATCTGCTTTTTCTATAAAATTAAATTTCCTAGAACCAGTTGAAGTTTGGAATCATTCAGCTTTATTGCTACAAGTTTCCAAGAACGGGCTTTTGTATCGAATACCATTAAAGGGATTTTAACTGTTATTTAAGTTTGCAGATGATAGGACTTGTTTTTGAAATGCAACTTAAAATAATTTGCCCTTTGAGGATACTTAATTTGTTAAATTCTAAGATGCGATGGTGAACTCAAAGTGGGAAAATACCAGAAACTGGCAGTTGATTTCTGTGTCTGTATTGGGTTAATGTAAGTCTTGTGTTTAAACAATAGTACTCCATTAGCGTAGTCAGACAAGTCTGTCTGCAGGAATTGGAATAAAACAAGATACTGTTTCAGTTTTCTTGTTATTTTATTCCAGACTTCAGTTTTATAGGTTTGTTACTAGAGATCATACCAGTGTTACACACACCCAGTCTTTTTCCTTCTGTTCTTTTAAATGTTGGAGCTGCCATACAGGGTATGAAGCAAAAGATGTGACCTCAGATTTAAATCATTGCCACAACTTTTTTTATCACTCCCACTTAGAGATTTTGTTAATGTTTTTTGAAGTTCTGTATCAATTTTGGATGAGGGGGAAGGCAAGGCAAGACAGTGTTTAATATCATTATGGAAGGTGCCACAGGGGCTCTGTGTACAGTAGCTGCTGGAGCTACGCAAGTAGGAGAAGGAATAAAAGCGATGATAAAAGCAAACCTCATGAAGTTCAACAAGGCCAAGTGCCAGGTCCTGCACATGGGTCGGGGCAATCACAAGCACAAATACAGGCTGGGCGATCAGTAGATTGAGAGCAGCCCTGAGGAGAGGGACTTGGGGGTGTTGGTTGATGAAAAGATCAACATGACCTGGCAATGTGCGCTTGTAGCCCAGAAAGCCAGCCATATCCTGGGCTGCATCAAAAGAAGTGTGACCAGCAGGTCGAGGGAGGTGATTCTGCCCCTCTACTCCGCTCTGGTGAGACCCCACCTTGGGGTACTATGTTCGGCTCTGGGGCCTCCAACATAAGAAGGACATGGACCTGTAAAAGAGTTGGGGTTGTTCAGCCTGGAGAAGAGGAGGCTCCAAGAAAACCTTTCTGCAGCCTTTCAATATATAAAGGGGGCTTAATAAGAAAGACGGAAAGACGTTTTTTACCAAGGCCTGTAGTGACAAGAGAAGCAGCAATGGTTTTAAACTGAAAGAGGGTAGATTTAGATTGGACATAAGGAAGAAATATTTTATG